GGGGATTTATGTATTCATTATCCTTAAAAGCAGCCTTTATACTTCTTGACCCAGTTGGTCCTTTTTTTCTGACGAGTTTAATAATAATTTACATGTGCAATTATTGTACAGAGTTACGGGTTGACTTAGTAGGTTAGATTAGTGTATGTACAGAAAATACTGGTAAAATATTTGTAGTTGCAGTGGACTTGAGTCAAATGTAATGTTATTTTAATAATGCAGTTAAAGACAATTTTTGTTTACGAAACTCATCCATGATTAACAAGTGGAAGAATTTTCATTACTGTTTACAAGTCCAGTCATTATTCATCCACCCTGCCAATATTGCAGTTCACAAAGTGTAGATCTGTCTTCTGCGATGAGAATAGTTTAAGGGTATGATGGAAATACTGAAAGGAATGTGTAACTTAATCAAAAATATTTCTTCTTATAACTACAGATCTGCTTCTGCTTCTGGATTAATTGTTGAAGGAATAAGAGGCTTACATAGTGTTGCCAATCCAAAGCTACACCAGTTTGTTTGTTATTGTTGTTATTATGTAAATAGACATGATTAGTCAGGCAATGTACATTATGTGTGATTTATAATTCAGTGTTGGTTGTTGTACGCAGTATAAATGAACATGTTCACATGGATAGACTGCGGGTTACTTGACTTAGTGCATAACGGTCTTTCTTCATTTGTGAACACTTGCTCTACTTCTCAACATGAATAAGCAGTTTTTCTGTAGGTTTTCAGTGGTGAATACTGAAAATGGTGTAAACAATTGAAGTTGTTAGTTTACATACCTGTATACCAGTATCTATGATTGGTGTCAAAGTTTTAATGTTTATAGGTATAATTGAAGAATAATGTTATGTGCTGTGCATGTCAAGTAAGTTAAATTATTGATATTATGCATCATATGTTTGTGATAGGGATCTTTTTTTGCCTGCTATAAGGACATACTGGGGATCCCTCTGTAACTCAACCTTTATTATTTTATTTACTTTTGTAATGTGTGCGAATTCACAGTTATTTCCCATTAAGCATGTGTTTCTCATTGATCTAGTGCTGTATACTACAACTGGTATTATCCATTTAATTCGTTTGTGCTTAAATGCTTCTTTTTGGCCTGAATGTCCATGATAGACAATTAAAACATTATTTATTTTTTTTCAGTTAAGAAACTGATATTGAAAATGATATTGAAAGAGCATTAAAATCCATTACTTAACCATCTTTGAAGTTTGTATTTGCAAACATTTTATTGAGTATATATATTTTGTCAGACTTGGGAAGTAATGGTTTTGAAGAATTTGCTGCCTAGTTATAGGAAAGACACACAAGCACATCAAAAGTGTAATTATATTTATTGTTGCCAGATCACATATGTAAGCTTATGGCTTCAAATGAATTCAGAATGTTTTTCAGAATAAATTTAAATGAATAACGGGAGACCAGAAATGTTTGTTTCACTTTATTACCTCTGCATAATCAATTATACAGGATTTGTGCATATATTATTAAAGAAAAATCATGGAAATGATAAACAGCAAGAGACTGCTTGATTTTATAGGTGTCATTTAGACTGCATGCTCTTTCATAATTGGTTCAATTGCCACATTCACACTGAAGTAAATATCTAAAATAACTGAGCATGCTATAAGAAAATACGAATAACTATGTGTTTGTTGACAAAGACTCGATTCAATAATGTATCCTGAATGTCTGATTTTTAAAAAATTACCTCTGTGTCAACAACATTTATCTCAAAACCCATTTGCCCCACTTCTGCTTCAGAACAATTTGAAATGAATTAACAATGACCACTACAGGAAGTCCAGGTTCAAACCCTGGCCTCTGCAAGAAGTTAACTTTCTTTCACTGTTCAGTCCCCAACGGGTCTACATTAAAAAGATTTAAGAAATGAGACCACGCTAAAAACTTCATCCTGATGGCATGTCTTCCTGTCCTGCATAAACAAGGCCTTCCTATTATGCCGACTTGCAGAATCTACATCCATGTTTTTATTGAGAGTAGTCCAGAAATGTCATAGTGCATGTGATCATTTTCAAACACTTTCGAGAACTGCAGCCATTTCTTTGATTTGTTTAGAAAAATTCTGGAAAGAAAAAGGTTATCATGAAATTGGATTTAAAATCTGACAGAAGTATTAAGATCAAAATCCTAAAAACTGTGAAATTCAATTTTAAGGTAAATTAAAAGAAATAAAACATTTTATTGTTGGCCACCCTCATATGACTCACATATGCCATGTTTGAAACATTCTACCTTTAAAAAAATAATAAAAACTCACAAGGCACTGGAAGTAAACTTAAAAACTTATCAAGACAATAGGTTTGGAACCAATGTTTTTCATCAATGATAAAGATGAACTTGACTTTGTGCATGAAGGAAATGATCGTAAAGCAAGACCAGATTTTGTTACAAGTATTTCACATCAATCGTTAACCCCCTGACGAATCTAAAAAAGGCACTATACACAACTTGTGGGGTAAATATTACTTTTAAAAATGCTTACCTGAAATTGTATAACGGTCATTTCAAATGAGCGTGTAGTCACATGACCAGATGGGTCAGCTACTTTAAGTAAGACAGTTACAAATGGCGTGTTCAAGTTCCTACAGCCATCTGAACTCATGGCAACTCCTAGCTTCCACTGGAAATCTATTAACTAAAACAAGAACAAAAGAAAAGTTTGTACTGCTAGCAACCTGTTTGACAAATTTCACTACTTTATAAATTTTACCTTTAAAGAATATTTTCTATAAATCCTTTTTTTCTTCAAATAGTTTTGGTTTATAAAAAGCACTGATATAGCTATAAATTTATTTAATTTAAAAGTTTTTCATCTATTTGTTAATTTTTTTTTCTGCAATATCATTTTTTAAAAATTTTAACCCCATTTACAGGATATACGGCTGATATACCATCTTTTTAAAATATCTCAACTTTGAACATGGATTTGTTTGTAATCATCTGTGGCACTGAGATTATGAAAACATTTTCCTACAATTGGGCAATAAAAATTTAATATGCCAATGACCTTTGTGAAAAATTTACTTAAGATCCAAAGCAGTAATTAGTCCAACTAGAAAATTACTTAATTTGATTTGTCTAATCAAAATATTCAACAGTTCTTTTAAATTTTATAAGTAATTCAGCTCATAAGTTAAAAAGATAATTAAGCAATCACATACAAAAAGATCATCAATCACAATAATGTAAAGGTCTTCCCCAGATGTACTCTGATCAATTTATGAATGAGAATTTTAGATGAAATTTCAGCAGTGATTAAAGGAAAATTATTAAGCCTTGGAGTAACATGTTTTACACCACATTCAAAAGTATCATTCTCCTCTCTTATTGTTGCGATGTGTACATGTGCATGCAATGAAGGTGTAAATAAATAATCCAAATATAAAATTAAAAAGAAGTCTTTGTTCATCCACCCACCTCTGAATATGAGACAGCTTTACTCAACTGAAATGCATAACTTCGATGAAGGACTTTCACCTTTTTGGAAGACATGATCAAACACACACACACTTACTCTTAATACAATAGTTTACAAATGAAAGCATCTGCTAAATGCATCCTCTTTTTTCTTTTAATGACAGTTTCAACAAACTTACAGTAAAAAGACTTGGCAAACACTGTAAATATTAAAGATTTGTATCAATGCCATGTACTAAAAGCTTGGAATTACATACCTGTCCAACATTAATTAGCTGGTTAGCTTGGTCCACAGCAAACAGCAGTTTACCCTGAAGTTGAGGATAAAAAAGTCCATAAAAAGGTTCATATATCTGTTACAGTTTCTTGATATGTAAAGACGCACATATTTTGTAATGAGGCAATGGATATAAGGGATGAGACAGTGGATATGAGGGGCATACACACACTTAGTAAGGAAATACATGTACACTCTGATGGAGACAAAGAGAAGAATATTCTATTCATTGTTAAGATAAATCCCAACCGAGTTGTTGCAGTTAACAGGAATATATTGATGAACACTGACATAATTCTTTTAAGAAAAAAAAAGCAAATCATAAAAAATACAATAAAAAAATTAAAATATCACAAAGTGTGTGAGTGTGTGTGTGTGTCCCAAACCTTCCTAGTGTGTAGGAAGCAGATAGGATACTCTTTGAATTAAAATGTTAACCTGCTGGTTCCATATATGCTTTAATGTTGCCTGTGCACTCTCACTGAAGGCCGAGCTGCTTTGTAGCTGTGATGTTAACTCTGCTGTACTGTACTTCAGTCTGGCAGCAGTTCTTCATGTAAGAGAAAAGACATTATATAAAATTGTGTTTGGTGATCTCAACAACAGCAAATGTATTAGAAGTTCCTCAATTCAACAAAGAGATAAAGCAATAATATATAGTACTACGTAACAATAGGCATGATTTAGTAAGAAATTTAGCCTTGTATTGGTATCCATAGTTACTAAAGTAAGACAAAACAGAAAGATTCTCATTGAAATATACTGTATTTTCTAGCAATCATTTACCTAAATACATAGGTAAGTGCATTCACGGAACTTTGTATGGCTTTTTCAGTGAGTGCTTCATTTTCAACCAATGACTTCTGAAAAAAACAAACCAAAATGTTATTCACCAGCTTTACATGACAAGAGGCCTTGAGAGAAATTTTAAATGCTGTATCAAAGTCTTAGAAGTTTTTTTTTTCAGCTTGATTTATGCCATAAAAGCAGTAATAACTTTAAAAAAGTAAACATACTTACATTGTGTAGTGCTTTTACATTAATACTGCCAATTTTATACTGTAAGAACTGCATGACTTCATGGCACTAAATAAAAAGTTACAGGTCAAATTTCAGGAATTTCAACATTTCAAAAGTATGATTTTAGAACACAAAAATTCACTGAAATGTCACTTCAACTTTTAAGTATAGTACTTTGTCTTTCGATATCTTATAAGTGAAAGTTCGCCTTGTGACTGTCTAACTTTACCCAAAATAGTTTTTTTCTTATTTATTGAGTTTTTAAAAAGATCTATATAATTGTTGACACTTACCATTTCTGCCAGTACATCTTGTGGCAGTTTATTGATTATTTCCACTGCTCCATAGAAGCCTTAACAGGAATTAAAAGAATGCAATATTAGAATCACATGAGGCAAATATTGTTATAGTAGGGTTTGATACTTAATTGGGGCATATATGGTCTTACTATTAATTTAATGCACTGTCTGATAAAAATTAACGTAAATTAATGTTTGTTTTTTTTCGTAACAAAATTAATGAAAAGAATATTTTCGTTACTGGTGATACTGTAAAGGTACATTTATATGTTATGATGGTGTGACTTGTTAACTTAGCTCATGAGTCAATTAAATGAAAATAACGTCTCAGTAATTGTACTTTCTACCAAGATATCAATAAAATGAACCTGCGCGGTGTATCCGGTATTGTTGATGGGAGAAGCTGTTATTGTAACTTGTGTCTTACCACTACTGTTAGTGGTGTCCGCGTATATATTAAATACCAATACAAGTAATAGTACTAGTACTACTACTGGACCGGTAGTAGGCGCGGGTACATGCGAATTCTGCCTTAAATAGGAAAAAATACCCTCCTCGACGTCATAACCAACTAGGAAACATTCTAATAAAACCCAAAACTAATGTGTNATTGTTGATGGGAGAAGCTGTTATTGTAACTTGTGTCTTACCACTACTGTTAGTGGTGTCCGCGTATATATTAAATACCAATACAAGTAATAGTACTAGTACTACTACTGGACCGGTAGTAGGCGCGGGTACATGCGAATTCTGCCTTAAATAGGAAAAAATACCCTCCTCGACGTCATAACCAACTAGGAAACATTCTAATAAAACCCAAAACTAATGTGTTTAGACAGTGCTTGATCCTGAACAGCATAGGCTAATCGTTGCACATTATTACCTTGAGGAGCCTGGTGAAGTATTGAGGCCGACATTTTGTAGCACTGAAAGTCATGTGACGGTGTAAAACAAGTCACGTGACAATACCAAGGTGGCACGCGCACTGACATGAAGAAACCGCAAGGAACAGCAGTCCTACACGTAAATGAGGTAGCGTTCGTGATGTACATAACCACGGGTTGTAAAAAAACTTATTTAATTAGCCAGTAAATTTCCAAGCTAATTTTTGTGAAGAGGCACTTGTAAATCAAAGATACCACATTATTAGTTTTGTAAAAACATTGAAGAGTTGACTTCTTTATAAATATAACGGTGATGTTTTAGGCCTACTTTTAAAAGCTATCAACGAAGGTGCAAATTAGAAAACCAAATCAAGCTTAGAATAAATAAATAAATTTAAAAAATAACACCTCAGGGCTAATCAGGCGAGCACGGTACAGTGGCAGGTAAAGAAAACGCTTAAATAACTGCATGGTCTTTACACTGCTGTCAGCCCCTTGTCAGATCATTAAGTGATGAAGTTTTGGGAGACCGGGGTTTAGTTGGACCCAGGGGTAATTGGCTCCTCGTCAATTTATGAAAAAGTTCCCACGAAGTAAAAAGTTTAATCACATAATCTTGTAAATTGACTATATCCGACAATGCCACAAAAGCGTCAGTTATAAAAAATTACTTCATCGGTGAGTCCGAAAAAAGTTTTCTGAAATTAACTTTGTTGGCGAAATTTCAAAATCTATTTAGTTGAAGCTATTAACATCAGGCTGCATGGGCCAAAGCTCAATAAAAATGATGGGACTGAGTTACCCAACCTCTGTCTTCCACTATTTAGGGAGGGGTGGGGCACCTGACTAGACAGCACACTTGAGGGGTGGCAGGTTATAATACCTATCACAGCCCTTATTTCCCTGATGAAGTCTGTCTGTCAGCAGACGAAATATTGGCTGGTAAATTTCATTGAATTTTCAATAGCTATTCACAAAAGGCACTCTACTGGTCATAACTTTTTCTCTGTTATTTGCATTCTTTTACAGACCAGAGTGACACTTTCGTCTTCCCCTCGTTTTTTTTCTCCCCCCCCTACTATCCCACATTTGATTTTTTTTAAAAATTTTTTACATGTACATATCAGAAATAAGAATTAAATAATGGCTGCATCAAAAACAGATATGATGACTTCAATAAGAAAGAAAAAAAAATAACAAAAAATGTATATACAACAAACAAGCGTATGCGAGCCGAAGCTAATTAGTCCTGATTGGATGTAACTTAGTAAGTATAAGTTGTCAGAGGTAAGGGAGGTAAATCCCTACTGTTATTCGCAAATAATACTTCATGTCAGCAATTTCGAATTTCTGGACCTGTAATTCGATTTGGTTCACTTTGTGATTTTTTCTGTGGACTCTTCTTTGGGGTCCTAAATCTGCAATTTTGTTTCATGTGATTTAAAAAGATGGTAGGACTATATCCGGCATCGTATTTACAGCACAATACCCACAACCTGCCTCTCGTAGCCAATTCCAAGAAACAACGATTTGAAGAGAAAACAGTATTTTATTGATATAGCTTGTCCGCAAAGCTCAGCAAAAATGCAATTCAACCTCTATACAAAAGAAGATGAATGATAGTTTATACGAGTACACTATCTCTTGTAAAATTGGTCAAGACAATTGTTTCATAACCGCGTGATGCATCTGTGAGTTTTTTTCTGCAGTATGTTGGTGTGACGAAACTGAGGGTCCATGTCACAGAGAGTCCACCCTCCATTTAATTATGATGGTTAGGGTTAGCCTGATGTGAATGGGTCAAAATCTAGGACGAGGTTTACCTATGCAAATTAATGGGGATCGGACTCACTATCATGGTGACTCTCTGTCACGTTACACCGGTGTGGCAGGAATAGTAGTCCTTAGAATGGAAGACCGGGGTCCCATATGAAAAGTACGGGTTAGGGTTAGTCGTAGTATATGGATTTGTACGGTCTGCGGATTTTTTTTACCACAAACGTCGTGGAAGACTGCACTCCTGACGCGTATTTCTAGTACCAAGAATATATCTCTGAACGCAGTTTCCCCCTGCTCTGCCGTAGTCGTTTGCCACCCTATCCTCGGCACTGTCTGAGCCGTGAGATCCACCACTCTGAGCCCATTCCCTGGCCTCACTGGGTAGGATTGGAAAAAATTAAATAAAACCGTTATGACAAAACACTTACGATTGTATGCTGCAGAAATCACACAACTGATTTCTTAGATAAACCCATTTCAATATACAATAACAATTTATACCAATATATCAAAACAAAGCAACGCTATTTTCCTTCAGAATGATTGCAATATGATAGCAGTAGTTTAAAAAAACGTTTTAAACAGACCAATATGGATTTCATTTACAATATCTAGATGAAAAATATCAAAGGTTTTAAGTAGAAGTAGGTATTTCCGGCTTTGGAAGTTTTCATATTTGTGCGAGAGACAGAAATATGGAACTGCAACCTTACCTGATAGCCTTTGCCGTAAGTTTGCCACAATAACCTAAACGTCCAGCCTCATAATTGCCTCTGCAGTGGAAATATTTGTCGCAGTTTTGCCAGTTTGCCCGCCTCATGTCATAGTAAGCCCTTAACATCCGGCCCGCAGCTGCCCCAGCAGTGGCGGCACAATACGCTGGCACAGCTTGGATTGCACGGTTTATCCATCGTGGTAAACCCCGCTTCACTCTGGACGCAGCGACATCGCTGTCAACCGCAGTGCTGAGGTGGAACAATACGGCGAGGAATATCCCAAAAACGAAGACTGTTGTCTGAAATAAACATCATAGACCATGCTCAATGATCGACGTATGGTAGTTTGTAATGCATTTCGCTTTAAGTTAGAAGAGAGGAAGCACACCTAATGTTTTTAAGATACCAAGGTAAATTAATTAATGATAAAATTAGATTAAAGAAGGCTAAAATAAGTGTTTGTGTGTGTGTGCGGCCTTACAATCACCTTTATTTATAATTTGCTACATAATAACGGGGTTAAACGAATGATTTAATGTTCTCTGTCATCCGGTTGAATTAGAACCTAGAATCTAGGACCATATAAAATATCTTGTATCCCAGCTAAAATTACACGATTTTCGATCAAAATGTGGAAGATCAATTAAAAAAAAACTCTCTAAAGTCGACTTATACTGGAATCAACATTTTGCTATTGATACACGAGATATCATGAAGGTTTTATTTCCCTTGTAAACGCTTACTTTCCATAACTAAACTTTCCATTTAGACAACCGCTCAGACCCCAACTTTTCGCCGTCGGTATGCGGTGCAACGAAGCAAAATAAAAAATATGGCTTTTAGTAATTTTGGTTGAACATTCGCGGATTTGGACTATAACATGTACAATACCTTTTTCATCTTCCAAGACCTAGCTTCTATGCAATCACTCTGAAGGTCGAAGAGGACTGGCTTCACTGGTGCATGACCTGTAAGCAAAACCCAAGTTAGCAAAGGCTTATAGATATCGCCTTATATACTTTTTCTGAAAGGGATCGGTCGTCCTAGATTAGGAATTGATAACAACAAATAAATGGTCCAGGATCTAATGATGTAGCGAGACATCTGTAACAACCTATGCGTCATTTTTTTCCCTGCAGCCTCACTGGAGGAGAGAACATCTATCAATTTTACGGTGTACGACAGATAAAAAGTGTCGTTGTCATTATATTAGATATGATTTGAAGAAAACTAAAGCTAGAGGACATTTTGCGGTTTTGAAGTATCGATAGTGTTCTGATAAAATAATTTGGCATTAAAGAAATTATGCACTTGTGGAAAAAACAATTAAGTGAAATATGGTTCTTCTAAGAAAAACGTTTGTGGTTTCTGCTGACATTTATGAGGAAGGTCATTTCGCATGGGGTATTTTGTTTATAGCCTTGAAGTTATTACATTTCTGAAAAACATATCCGCTTTCAGAAGAACTTTGAACTTTTAATAGTTTTTTTTTAACTATTTACTTCCTTGAAATTGGTATAGAACTGCCCTCGAAAACGGAGCCTTGAACTTTTACTTGCTTGTTGACTTCCTTGTTTGGAGCAGCTGTCATTTTGTCTAATTGCTAATTTCGAGTTGAATTATACATTGTTTGATCTGGAATCCACTCTTCGAACCACATCAAATGCTTGGAATAGACCTGAGAAAGAAATACAGGCGGTTCAGATAAAAAGAAAAGAGTGCATGGAATTTTTTACTTAGTTAAAGTTTTTTTAGTGTAAAAATGCACTTTATTCTTAAGATGTTTTCTAATTTAGATAAATGCACTTCATTGTTAAGATATGATATTTTCTTATTTATATAATTCCTTGCATTCTTAAAATATCATTTCTTTATAAAAGGATATGACTTATTAGCATCTCTCTCTCTCTCTCTCTCTCTCTCACACACACACACACACACACACGCGCGCGCGTGCGCGAGCGTTTTAAACTTGCATTTAAACTTACAACCAGAGCTTTCACCTTGAGCTTCCAGATAATGCTTCGTTTCTCAGTATGTATACAGTCACTGCATAGTAAGTGTGTGCACTTGGTACTAGATCTAGAAGTAAATATTGGCAGTAGGCTATAGTGCTATGCGTACGTTAACTGTAATAATACCCAGACTACCCTCTGTATCCACATTGACAGTTGATTGAAGAGATGGTGTAACATGAAAATCTGACTCCCATGAAAATGTGACTCCCCAGTCAGATTTTCATTATGAAAATGTGACTCCCCAGTCAGATTTTCATAATGAAAATGTGACTCCCCGCATGAAAATTTGACTCCCCCTCCACAAAACTTCATACATCTTATATTATTTGAGTATTTGACTGTGATCTTGTAGTATGTAAAACGGATGATACGTTGGCACATTTTTTGTAGTTTGCAGTGAAAATTCAAATGAAAAAATAAGAAAAATAAAAATGTGCACATAATGAAAATCTGACTCCCCCGTGAAAATTTGACTCCCCCATCATAAAACTTTATAAATCTTGTTTTATTTTGGGTATATGTCTGTGATCTTGTAGTATGTAAATGGAGGATACATTGGCACATTTTTTGTAGTTTGAAGGTGAAAATTTTAATGAAAAATAAAGAAAATTAAAAATGTGCACAAAATGAAAATCTGACTCCCCCATGAAAATTTGACTCCCCCATCATAAAACTTTATAAATCTTATTTTATTTTGGGTATATGTCTGTGATCTTGTAGTAAGTAAAATAGTTGATACATTGGCACATTTTTTGTAGTTTGCAGTGAAAATTTTAATGAAAAAATAAGAAAATTAAAAATGTCCACTTAATCGCCTATTGTCTCCCCTATGAAAAAGTTATTTAATATTTGATGATCATTTCAACACCTTTTCTTTTAGGATACTTTATGAAAAATATATTGGAAATATTTAAAGGTTTGATGATAAAATAGTGAAAGCATGAAAAAGAAATCATGAAAATCTTTATTTTTACACCCATGAGATTTGGACTCCCATGGAGAAAAAGACCTATTTTATATTCAGTCACATTCCACTGTTTTCCACATAGTTTGCATAGAGATAGATATTTTGTCATTATTTAAAAGTTTGATGCCATTTGGTGTTAGAAAACAAATCCTTAATTTTTCTTATTTTCATGTGTTTTATTCCTTTTTTTCTCTCAATTTTTTAACCATGTGCACATTTTCAATTTTCTTATTTTTTCATTAAAATTTTCACTGCAAACTACAAAAAATGTGCCAATGTATCATCCATTTTCCATACTACAAGATCACAGTCATATACTCAAAATAAGATTTATGAAGTTTTGTGGAGGGGGAGTCATATTTTCATGGGGGAGTCAGATTTTCATTATGTGCACATTTTTAATTTTCTCATTTTTTCATTAAAATTTTCACTGCAAACTACAAAAAATGTGCCAATGTTTCAACCATTTTACATGCTACAGGATCGCAGTCATATACTATATTAATTAGAGATTAATAAATGTTTTTTGTAGGGAGTCAAATTTTCATGGGGGAGTCAGATTTTCATTATGTGCACATTTTTAATTTTCTCATTTTTTTATGAAAAATTTTCACTGCAAACTACAAAAATGTGCCAATGTATCAACCATTTTACATGCTACAGGATCACAGTCATATACTCAAAATAAAATAAGATTTATGAATGTTTTTTTTGGGGGGGAGTCAAAATTTCATAGGGGGAGTCAGATTTTCATAATGAAAATCTGACTGGGGAGTCACATTTTCATAATGAAAATCTGACTGGGGAGTCACATTTTAGGGGAGTCAGATTTTCATGGTACAATGGTCTCACATGATTGATGACAGGTGGGATGTGAGTGGAGCCTGGCACACTTGGGTCTGGAATTTTTTAAATTGAAAAATCAGAAAATAAAGTTCCAACACTGAAAAGTAATCTTTGATCAATAGTTTAGTGTACTATAATTCTTGCTATCATGTCGTACCTCCCACAACCTGTTTAAACAATTTCTGTGTGCCATTTTTTTATTTGGTTTTAAACTATCCCTTCCCATTGACACACCCCCATCTGTGGATGGCATCTGGTGCTGTTCATTTCGTTGTTTTGTAATCTTGTGTATTAGCCCCTCCCAATGTCACAACACTCCCTTAAATGCCATCTTCTAACTTCTGTCACTGCCTGACAAGAATAGTAGTCCTATATACAGCAATAAAAGTCCACGGTCCCATGTGATAAGTGAAGGTAAGGGTTTGCTGGAAGCATGTATCCAGTTCAGTATATTGGACAAATATCACCTGTTACGGGACAAGGCTGTAAGGTTCCATGGAGATTCACACTATTTTCCCATTGTATATAGGTTTCTTGATATCTAACCCCTCCCAATGCCACACCCCTCTCTCTAGCCACACCCCACCCACCTGTCTGAGAGCCATCTCCTGTTGCTTCTTGCTATAGCGTCCCTGGGTGACTTGGTCTGGCCCCGCCCACTTCCTGGCCCTGGCCTCCAGCACGTCCATAACTAACACTCTGGCCTGAGAGCTGAGACACTGGTCCTTCGCAGCCTGACGTATTGTGTTGAATATCAGGTTGAGGGTAGCTGAAATGAAAGGTGTGGTCATCATCAACATGGACTGACTGTACAATTTCAGTGAGAACCAACTATATACTAAGGAAGGTGGATGTTTTAAAATTTTGCATTCAAATATGGTTCAATGACTGCTTTATCTTTAACGGAAAGGTGCTCAGATTACTAATCTAGGCAGCAATTAATTAAAATTAAAACCGAGAATACATGTCACAGAAAAAGAGGTATCTTATAATTAAAGAGAATGAGACTGACAACAATTACAAGTGACTTTTAGTCACTTGCTGTGAAGCGCCCCCCCCCCCTTCCCTCTGGGAAATGCACAAACAGTCAGATGGCAGCCGTCACGAAGTAACGCCGTTTTGCGGCATTTGCGATGGCCAACGTGAAAAACCATACCTTGCAAATAAAGCTCTTTTAAAATCAAACTAGGTCACTCTGTGCAGTCTTTTTATAAAGGCATGTAGAAAAACATGCAATCTTACTCGAAGTATCAGAGAATTACGTAAATGAGCATTAATAATGAATGAAAAACGGACACGATTTTAGAACTTCGGAAAAAAATGAAGCAAAAATTGTATCTCGTAGGGGGTGGGACTATAGTGCGAGAAAAAAGTTGCCAGCCTGACTTGTTTTCATTTTTAGATATGAGTTACAATATTATTTTAGGTTTAAAATTTCAAAGTTTGAAGAATGCTATGTGAGATCATCTCAGTCTTGCATCATTGATTTAACTATACATTTATAATATATTGATTTAATGCAAAATTACAATTGCTTTGTGGCAATGTTGCAAGCTTGGGCCTATTTCCACCCCAAAAAGATAACAAATTACACGAGTCATTAATATTTTAATAAATTCCCCGTATGTTTCAGTTTTAATAAATATACATCAAAATTATATTTTATACAAATAGGCCTATAGCAACACACTGTGCTCACAGAAAAAAAATGAAACTTAAAATAAGACATTTTTCATTAAAAAAACAAAACAATTAGTAAGTAGAATATTATAGCATTTGTTTATGTAACAGCTCTGTTTAGATAACTATTTTCTATTATTATTTAAAAGCAGTTAGACCCTATATATTAACAAAGATAAAGAGCAAATCTATTTTACATGTAACTGGGAGGTCCTGACTCCTCCCCCTTCGGTTTCTGAAAAATATATCACACCAATATTCCCCTCTTGAAAAAAATTTTGACTTTGACTAGCTGAATCATAGTTCTTAACCGTACCAAAGGGCACCGTTTGTCCTCAAAAACATCAAAAATTTTTTGGGCCCTTGAGCAGGCAATGAACCCCACGCCTAGGGGGCGATGGTCGGCTTCGAGGTCTGTCGTTCCGGACCCCCATTCTAATAATCCTGGATCCGCCTCTGAAACCCA